CAATATATCTCTATATATACATATATGTATATATATCTTTATATATATATATATATGTAGATATCAGGTCGGCGACCTCACAAGGGACAGGTGAGTGAAAATCGGGAATTGATTCGGTGTTCAGTGTAGAAACTAGGTATTGATTCGGGGTTTGCCATGCGCAACGACGACTGCAAGTTGTGAAGGGGATCGAGCAGCTTTATACTAACGTTATCGTAGCTATGGCGAAAGGTAATCGAGGTGTGGAACGCGGATCGGCTATGGCGGACGGAGGTGGAGAGTGGAGAAAAAACATCAGAACACGTCCACTGGCGAAACAACAAAACCGGGAATTGATTCGGGGTTCAGTAGAACGCAGCTGCGGTGTTATATCCTGCAGGTACAGATAGGGCATCTGGGATTGTGTTCGAACGTCGGACACATAATATGACAACTCAAGTTATATGATTTTACTTTCGTCGTGTGTTGAGCGAGCAACCAACCACCGAACCAGCTATGCTGGAGGGATATGGAGTTAGGAAGAGCGAAGACCGAGGAGCGAAGAGCGAACCGAACACAATGTGGCAACTGCGGACGGAGCGAAGAGCGAAGAGTGAGCGGGCTATGGCGGAAGGTGGTGGGGGCTGAAGACCAAATATCAGAACGCGCGCGGAAGCGATAGCGCGACTTGATCTGTGGAGCGCCAACAAAAGGGATAACTCGAGGGCTGCAACGCCTTTTATACTTTGTTGCAGCAGGCCTCGCGTCGGGATCAAGGTGGGGCCGAATCGATTCGCATATCGCACCCCTGGGCCCATAAAACGCCATCAAGGTGGGGCTGAATCGATTCGCGTATCCCACCCGTCGACCCATAAAACGCCAGGGCCTATAAACGGTAAGGGGTACCGGAAATTGTCAGCCGTCGATCAACAATTTTTAACCGCGCAGATGAACGGAGCCACTGTTATGCCAGTGGCCCCAAAATCTCCGTCTACTCCGGCGTGCAATGATGTGACAAATCCCGAAAACAAGGGGCAGGCAATGTGATTTTCGCAGTTCTAATCTGGACCGTCGATCGACATGATCCGACGCACGAGGTCAGGCGCAAGAATCTATAAGGTACGGCGATTCGTTGTGCGCCGAGGTGGTTCGTTGCGCGCCGAGGCCAGGCGACGATTTATTTTCTGCCGAGGTGCGGCGATTCGTTGTGTGCCGAGGTAAAAAACACCGGAAATCTATAAATTCTGGTATCTCTGTCATTCGGACATTTTGCAAATGTCAACGGCGTTCGATATCGATGCGCTTAGCCATGCACCATCGTAATCGATGCACTTAGCCCATCGCCATCGCCAACGGTCGCCATGCACCATCGCCATCGATGCGCTTAGCTTATCGCCATCGCGACGCAAAGCTATATCCCCCATCGCAGCCGTCGCGCTCGCCTGACCATCGCAGCGCTGACAATCGCCATCGCTCTCATCGCAGCGCTGGCCATCGCTGCGCCATCTCAACGCTGGTACCATAGCTGTCATCGCAACGTTGGTTCCATCGCTGCTCCATCTCTCAATCGGTGCGCCATCGCTATCGCTGCCATCGCTATCGCTATCGCCGCCTTCGCTATCGTTGTTCCATCGCTATCGCTGTGCCATCGCTATCGTTGTTCCTTCGCTGCGCCATCGCTCTCCACCGGTGCGCAATCGCTATCGCTGTTCCATCGCTGCCATCGCTATCGCTATCGCCGCCTTCGCTATCGTTGTTCCATCGCTATCGCTGTGCCATCGCTATCGTTGTTCCTTCGCTGCGCCATCGCTCTCCACCGGTGCGCAATCGCTATCGCTGTTCCATCGCTGCCATCGCTATCGCTATCGCCGCCTTCGCTATCGTTGTTCCATCGCTATCGCTGTGCCATCGCTATCGTTGTTCCTTCGCTGCGCCATCGCTCTCCACCGGTGCGCAATCGCTATCGCTGTTCCATCGCTGCCATCGCTATCGCTATCGCCGCCTTCGCTATCGTTGTTCCATCGCTATCGCTGTGCCATCGCTATCGTTGTTCCTTCGCTGCGCCATCGCTCTCCACCGGTGCGCAATCGCTATCGCTGTTCCATCGCTGCCATCGCTATCGCTATCGCTGCATTGTAACGCGTTCGATCGCCACGCCATCGCTCTCCACTGCAGCGCTGGCCATCGCTATCGAAGCCCTGGCCAGTGTTATCCCACTGCAGCGCTGCGCGATTTCTCTCTCCATCGCCGCACGATCCCCCTCCATCGCTGAGTGATCACTCTCCATCTGACTCCATCACTGCGTGATCTCTCTCGACAACCGGGCAACCTCCATCCTTGCCCCAGAGACTCTCCATTACTCCTGCGTGATCCCCCCATCGCCATTGTATTGTTGTTTCAGGCCGTCGTCGGTGCAGCCGCCCATCACTTCGGAATCGCATGAAACAGGTGACAGGTATGCTTAAAAAAGGTTTAACTCGATGAAACTGATGTTGTGCAACAACAAATCTTGGTCATCGTTGTGCCTTCTCTCTCCATCGTTGCAGCATCGCTAACTATTGTTGCGCGTCCTCTCTCCATCTCTCTCCACCGATGCGCGATCTCTACCGACCTTTCGTCATCTATCCCCATCGCTGCGGTATCTTTCCTAATCTATCTCCNGCGTCCTCTCTCCATCTCTCTCCACCGATGCGCGATCTCTACCGACCTTTCGTCATCTATCCCCATCGCTGCGGTATCTTTCCTAATCTATCTCCTTCGTCATCCATCTCCTTCAGTGCGCTATCTTTCCTAATCTATCTCCTTCGTCATATATCTGCATCGCTGCACTATCTTTCCTAATCTATCTCCATCGTCATCTATCTCCTTCGATGCGCCATCTTTCTCCATTGCTGTGCTAT